AATTAAGTCCACATTCGATAAGCTGGTCTATGCCATATCCTTAAGATGTGCGCTTGTCTTTGACTCTGAAAACAATATCTGGTGTGCGAAGCTTGCCCAATTAATATTGTTCGGCTGTTCCATAGGTTTGGATAGCTACTCATGGGTCTTTTTCTTGTGTATTTTTTTCTGTTCAGAACCAATATTGCAATTCCAAGTGGGGCACTTACTGACTTACACTTACAAGTAAAACGTATAAACTATTCCAAGCGAAGATTTGAAGTAAAAGCGACATCAGTTGCAATTTTCCTGACAGAAGAGTGCAGTCCTCTTCCAGATGCAAGCTTTCTTAGGTAATACGGATGGCCGGTACTAAAATTTTGCGCGAACTAAGGGCTGACGCTGGTAGCTAGATCACTAGGATGACGGTGCCGTTGGTCGCCAGCAAACAAAAATTCCCGTTCTAGAACTTTTATAAGTCTCTCAATCATGAGTGATCATGATATGCAATTATAAAAGAAACGTTTTTCTAACAAAGTTTTTACTGCACTGCAGAGTTCAATTTGCGTGTCAACGATAAAGTTAATCATTTTCCAAAACTGAGAGGCCGCCTGATTCAGCAAGTTTTGATTGCAATCCTAATAAATTGCTTTTTATCATCCTATATTTTCATCTTTTACTAGCCAGACTATCTTTTATATCTTTTGCAACCAGAGAGTGAGGAAATTGAAAAATTGCTATTTCGAAAATGGGATGAATCTGATAAATGGTAGAGTCAAATCCTACTGTCAAAACAGCGTGCGAGAGATGCTGTGACGTGCGATGCCCCATATTTCGTAAGAAAGTAACTCGGAGCTTCGCCCCTCAATCAAGCCCAATTAATAACGAAAACCGTCACCTCATAGATGTTCTTAAAAATACGGGACAAATTGAATTGCAATTCATGCATTTCCAGTCAGACAAGAAGAAGCAAACACAAAACGAGGCGCACGCGCACAGTGCTTTTTCATATTTCACCCGCGATAGGGGGAGTGAAAAACTTTTCAACCGAGCGGGGCCTGGAGTCGGACATGACATTGACTGTTCATTCTGTTCATTGCGCTGGATTTTTATGATGATTTAAGTTTTATTGAGAATGTGTTCTATAATTTCCTTTGAAGTTGGCTTCGTTATTTCACACTAATCAAAGAGCATCTGGTCTAGGATATTATTCTATTGAAGAGGCTATTGACTTCAAGCATGGCACGTAATCATTTATATATATGACATTCAGTCGGACTTGAAAGTCAGGTCAGACCTATTATTACTGCTTGATTATAAAGGTCTGCAAAGGTTTAGGTATGAGGTGGCTATTAATTTATATCCATTTCAATGACGCACTTCGAGGAAAAAGAGATGGGAGGATTCTCCACTGGTAGCCATGAATGATGCTTGATCAGACAGGCTATTCTTGGTTAGCAGCCACGTGACAATGCAGCCATGTTAGCTGGGGGTCAACACAATAGAATTTTACAAGAAAATAGAGTTTAGTTCCCAGAGGAGGGAAATGCTTTTGTTCTCACCACCAATTCAACATGGCTGCTGTGACGTCACGTGCAAAGCAGTAATTCTTGGTTTCTATGTTAAATCACTGCACCCAAGGAAGCTTGTCGATAATACTCCGGGTTGGGGGGTGGAGGGCGGCATACTCAAGCAATATTTAGGTTTTGGTGAGCCACTGTGTGTTAGAAAACCTGACCCTGTTTTGGACAAAAAATTCCTAAAATATAAACCTGGTTTAGGACAGCACCCTAAATTTTATTTCCCTGTTTAGGACAGAGGATGAAATGCACGCCCTCCTGTTTTAAAGCCATTTATTGGCAATTGCTATCATGAACAAATTCACGTTATAGTCATTGCTTTTGTGTACTTGGAGTACATACAAAATTCATCTAGCAAATCAAATCAATCGTGCAGGCAATACCCTGTTGACAGACTCATATGAAATTATACCCTGTTTTGAAATTATATACCCTGTTTATAGGACAGAGTATATAATTTCATTTCCCCGTGGGAGGAACCTATTTCACATGCAGCATAAGATCCTCATCTCTCACCTACTCCCCTGTTCTCACAGAAGTTGCATGAGCATCTATAATAATATTGTTTTGTTTGGTTTTGTTTTGCTGTTATGTGGCCCCTTATTTTTTTTAAAGCCTTCAGAGGTCAAGCCAAAAATAATAGAAGTCAAAAGTTATAATTGCAAAATAATAGAAGGGTCGACAGTTTGGCCTGGCCTTTGAAAGACTTTGAGCTTTAAGACGAGGCTAGAAATATGCAAAATACCCATTGGTCATAGGAAAAAGATAAACACAAGGTAGTACCACTTTACGCAAAATTTGACCAATGTTAAGATAATGATGTTTTGGAAGCTCAGTAGACATGTTCCTCATCTTTTAATTTTTTGCTCTACTTTTTATTACATGAATTTACTATGTTAAAGGACAATATCTATATTAAGCAACTCCAAAAACATACAATTATTATATAAAACTAAGAAAAACCCATTCCTATTCGGGTATTAACCTTGATAGTTATTTATTTATTTCTTACAATATGGCTTACAATCGAGCGATTCTCATATGACCTTGAAATGAAAACACGCGAACAAAACAGAAACAACAAGCGAACAGAAATAGAGTAATTTGATTGGTTTATTGAACGCTCGGGTGAAAAACCTCATGCCTGAGAACTTTCTAGAAATCATCCGTTACTTCGCTTTGACGTCATACTGCAACACGATTGGCCAGTCGAACAGTGAGTTCTCCATATTAGGGTTTTCTTTCGCGGGAAAACAAAGAGACCATGTTTTGACCTTTTCATCCATTGGCTGATAAAAAAAATAACGAACACTTGCTGAAACCATTTTTCAAGGTCATACAAAAATCACTCTAATATTATTAAAAGGAAGAGAAATACAAAAGCCTAGGGATGAAATGCAATAGAGCAGGGTTGTGAGAAAGTTTTGAAGTTGATGGCTGAGTTGTCAAAGTAAGCGGACAGTCCAGGGATATTTCATTTAAAAAAACATCATCCGTAAAGAAATATGCCATTCAGAGTAGCCGGCTGATACTAACCAAGTAGGTGGCAATTTTTGCCAGCAGCCGGCTACATTTGACAACCCTGAATAGAGTCCTCGACCCCATGTTAGAGCATTTCTCCACTGGTAGTGAAGTCGACATAATATTTTTAAAAAATGACTCTAAAAATATAACCACATTAATTTGACTCTAAAAATGTTACAAAAATTAATATTCATTAGCAAATCATTAATAAATAATAAAAAGAGCAATAATGATAATGATGAATAATATCAATAATAAATGAAACTCTATGTAACAAAGTCCTCGCTATAACAAAAGGTTTTGTTTATCCCAGTAATAATAAAATATACGAGACTGCTATGTAACCATGCACTCACTTTTAACTGATGAAAGCAATATAGCTAAGTGATTTAGCTGAAATATCCTGTTGCAAATATTTCATACATTCCAGTCTATAATTTCTTCTCATTTCTCAAATATTTCAGGTGATCATGGTTTTCTGAGTTTGACAGTAAAACTAACTATAAGAGTATCAAATTTCATTTTGTTGGCAATGAACATACACTACAATGAATGTACATAAAATGTGTGCCACTGTCAAAAATTCTCTATGATCTGACTTAAATTGTGGTTGTGAATTTTATTGTTACAACTATGTTGTTCTGGTACAACTTACCAAATGTTTCTTTCTCTGAATTCAAGTTATTTCTACTCAATTAACTGTGGGCGCTGGAGTAAAATGGTTCTCTATGACTACTGTACTTTCCTTTGCATGAATTTTTTTAGGCCAATGCGGGAATATTTTTAAGGCTACTCAGCACCCAAATTCAGGGGCAAAGACAAGCTCTTTTCCAGCTTGCCCTTTGGGCATGTTGTACCTTGTGCTGCCAGCAGACTGCTGGTATCAATTTTATTTTATACAGCCCCAATATTAAAACTACACTGTAAAATATTGGATACCAAAAAATTTTCTTGCCCTGTACACTGTGTAACAAAATAATATTTTTCAGAGCTGTCATTAAAAATAACTCATAACAATAATTAACAATAACCAAATTAAAACAGTCTGCTCGATCATCACAAGGTCATATGGCAAAGCATTGCAAATCCTTGGTCGATGATGGGAATGGACAGTACCATTGTTAAACAGTCTGGCTAATGTTTAATTGTGCCTCAGTCATACATGAAACTGACATTGTTCTTCAGCTACTAGAGTCTGTTAAATGTTCCCTTGACAAAGGTTTGTACTGTATCTGGTCAGCGACAAATATACACCGTCAGAGCATACTTCTAAATACAGCAGGTGTTTGTTTGTACCAGAAAGGTGAGAGGGCTGACAAGAGGTGCCTGTAGAGGAAAGTACATTGTGGATTATTTCCTGGAAACAATAACAGAGACCTCAGCAAAACATTTTATAACAAAAACTGTCCTAAAGACACAAGTACCTTTTAACGACTAGAAGTTATCACGGTCAAGTGTTTTTATATATATTATCATAACTGTAACTTTTTGAATGAAACACTTGATGTGACCACCTAAAACCAACTTGACCAAACAAAAGCATACGGTGCATTCTTTCATGGCTGTTAAAGTGTCTGTTATCCCAATGAAAAGGTGAAATGATGTAGCCTTTAAACCATAACTCCATACATTTGTTACCAGTATCTGTAGACTTCCTCTGGTATTATATTAATTTTACATGTACGAACAGTGGCGTCCCACATTTAAGACCACTTTCTTACACATTTCATTTTACAAATACCGTACGTCTTTTAGCAATGTACTTCTCATTTTAGAATTCAATATCTGCATGAAACAAAGGACTGAAATACCCAGTAATCCAAGAGGTGAGCTGGAGCTCTTATTCACATTTACTGGTATTACATATTTTGTCTACCTTGTCCATTTAGTTGAAAAAAAAAATACTAACCTTTCTTTCTAAGGAATCCATTCATTCAACTCTCTTTCAAAATTATGGTCTTCACAATACATAAAGGGAATTCTGTCTCCCTGCCGTCCAGGCATAACATTAAACACATGCTGGCGTCGTACTTGTTCCTCTCCAACTGACAGCGACACATGGTTTGGTAGGTGACCAGGGCAGTTAGGTGAGGGGCAGGCCGGGCCACAGTGGAACCTGACAAAAGGAAAATTCCTTTTGCAGATTCCATCAACCATGGAAAACACATGACACAGAACATCTGATGGCCTTTTTTCATCACTTTCCCTAAACAGTAAAAGACCAGCAGTATCAGTTACTCATTTTATAACAGATGACAATAGCAAAGTAACTGATTCCAGTGTACAGGTATTTTTGTCAATATTAGTTATTGTGCTTAAATTAACACTAATCCTGCCTTACATAATTTTCATACACAGGCCAAAAAATAAATTCATTTATACTTATATTTCCATTGAAACATAATTTTACACTTTGATTGAGCAATAAATGCTAGAAACAAACATACCATACGTAGCTAAGCTTAAACCAGTAGGATATCCAGCCTTACCCACATCTGAATGTGACTTCAATCATCTTCTCCTCCTTCATCAACTTGAGACTGTAAGGTTGCCAGGGAGTCAACCAGAACCTGCCAGCATCTCTGAATATAACTGTATGACCATTGGGAAACTCCACCCTACTAAGCTTGTGAGCACGAGATAGCAGATGGTGGAACAGAGGTTCAGGGAGGAACTTGTTGAAGAATACATAACACTTCTTATCAGTGTTGTCATCATGCCATATGGGTGTGTCCCTTTCTGAGGCCATTGGTAACAATGACGGTACAAAGTGTGTTGGCTGCTCCTTACCTTCACACACTCTGAACATGTTTACCTTACTATTTGCCAAGGGGCAGATCAAATCATATTCCTCAAGAAATGCAGTCATGGCTTCTACACTTTCCTTTACCTTTGAGATGATGTTCTTCAGGAGTGGTTTTGTCAACAGTCCCTTTTTTTGCAAGAGATTCCAGTCACGCCTTAAACCTCTTTCCTGAGTCATCTCAGGTGGTGGTGTGACAAGTAGGATAATGATGTCAACCAATATTTCAGGCTTGAGGAGTATCCAATCAGACAGATCAAGATCCTGATTTCTGTCCAGGTAAATAACCAAACCTTGCTCATGGAAGTACTTAAAAGCATCTTTTGACCAGTTTAGGGTAAAAAGATTTTTAAACACCATTCTGAGCTGCTCAAATTTTACACAAAACAGGGCCTCCTTATTTTCTTTGTGGCTGATGATTGCATCCTGCATTCTGACCCACAGCAGAGGAATGTGATGACCCACTGTTTCCTTACAATTTATGGCAACATCCACAATTTTCTTTTGAAGACATTGAATTCCATGATCATTGTGTCCATTAGAGTTCTCAACAGGAAAGAACACCAACCCTTCTGTGTCGTTTTCAATCAGTTCATCACAGTAGAAATCCCAGAAGTTGTTTCTCAGGAAGCCATCGATTGTTTCTGTACAGTTTTTGTCAATAGTTCCTCTGTGAGTTCCAACTAGAAATATTGGTGTTTTGGGAGGGACATGGCTACAGACAGACTCAACCCAAAACTTAAGTCTTTGAATTCCTGCATTTATTTCTTTGAAGTCATTCTTTGCAAATTCAGCCATGTTTAATACTATGAGGTAAAGGGCATGACCTTTAAGAAACATGTGATGATACGCATAATATTCTTTGTCTCCAGCAAAGTCAAGTATCTTCAATTTGAGAGAGGAAAACTTTTCATTCAGGGCACTTTTTAGCATTTTATGATCAATACTAGCAAACGCTAGACACAAAAGACCCACGCTGCGCTTAACAAACTTGTTTGAGCACCTGGACTTGTTGGGGTACATTGAATGGAGACCAAACAATTCCACATAGAACGCAAAACAGATTGATGCAGGAAATAGTATTACAAAAAAATAAGGTGCTGAGGTCAATGTTAGTTTAATTTGGTGAAATGTTAGAAAGACGGACAGTGTAATAAGTTCATATAGGTCCTCCAGCCTGTCAGTTGCTGATGACTGTAACAATAACACGTGTAATAATGTCATAGGTAATGACACTGTAAAAGCCACACAATAGGAAACAAGAAGAATTTCTTGCACAAAATCAAGAGAAAGAATTATTGATGGCGAGTCATTTAATAATGATGTCAGAAACGATGCTGCTACAAAGCCAAAACAAAATCCAACGACAATTGATAATAGTAAACGGCAAAAACACAAAAAAACTAGAAAATGTTGATTCTGAAGCAGTCTTTCTGGTATAAAGTGATGCAAGTATTGAAAATCATTACTCCACAGTCCCTTTAACAGTAGCCAACCAATGAAGGCAAATACAGCTGCAGCTGTCAAGAGTGCCACATGAATGTTGAGAAAGCGGACGTAAGATTTCCCCCAGTAGTAGCATAGAGCGAGTGGAAGATGTGAGCCTATTAATAATCCTCTGCTGCTGAAAAAGCAAATAAACTTAGCTAAGGAACTCCGAACATGTAATTGATTGCTGGCACAGTAGAGAGTCAGCAAAATAGGTTGAGCCATCACTGGAAAAAATTGTATAGAGTTAAAAACTATGGTCATTGTGTAGTGACAGTCGATGACCTTATTACTTGCTGCTGTAACTATAAAAACACTTGCCAAAAAATATGCAATCGAACATAAAGATATCCTAGACTCGTAAACCGCACTTGTTGCTTCTCTGCCTGGTGTTAGTAACTGCGTATCTAAGCGAGTTTCGATTTTGGCAAATCTCCTGAAGTCTCCAAATACAAGTTCCTTCAAGTTGTAGTTTTTCCACCTCTGGTCCACAAGGCTCTCATCTATTCCCTGTGTGTTTGTTTGGTTTGGATCAAATTCCTTTCTGGTGAGCGATTTCACCAGACTTGTTTTACCAACCCGAGAGTCCCCGAGAACCATGCACTGTCCTTGGAATACAAACTGACTCTCTTCTTGCATTTCTGATTCTTCCACCACGGAAACATCTTCCATGTAGAGTTGATGCCTCTGAGAAAACATTATAACGAGAAGCTAGGATTACATGTGACTAAAAGTACTGTAACTGATTGATTTCTCAAACTTTAGACCGTTTACAGTCCCTTATTTTTGAGTCTACTGACCCAGACATAGGCTCGAGGCGGAAATCGAGCCTAACCCTGAAAATTCGTTTAAGTACTTCATATAACAGCAAATTATGACGTGGCAGCCATAATAATCGTATCAGGCTTTCATTACCCTACCACTTACACGAAGGCAAAAAAAAAATGTTAGCACAAATAATTATGCTTGGAATGTCCAACTATGTGCACTTTGTGGGCATATGATAAAATATGGAATGGACTGGAGTGGTAAAACATGGGCGGGAGTAATAAAACTTGTAGCCTACTAGACTTGCTACAAGGCGACCTCACGAGTTTCTTAGCGAGCGGAGCGAGCTTTTTAGGCTGCGAAGCGGCCTAGCGGGCGACGAACTCGCGAGAGGTCCCGCGCATATTAAGGTGATGTTATACACTTATCAATGTAAAGCCGGCTTGGTGGGGGTGAGGGGGAGGCAGGGCATGGGGTGGGGATTTGATTGCCTTTGTTGGCCCTCGGGTAGGGAATTTGACCGATCTTGTTCTCCCGGGAGAGGGGTATTTGAATCTTTCTTCACCCGACGTGGGCGGGATGTTTGCCTGCCGACTCGGACGAAAGTGGCTGAGACCGAACATGTGTTTCCCCGTTTCCACGCTTCTCGCACGCGACGTATGGGCCGGAAAGATCTGGAAAGTCATGGAAGCCAACGAGAACAAGCCAAAGGTGAGTGGATTTCATTGTATTGATCAATTGAACCTTTTAAAGATACTGTGGTATCAAAGTAAACGGAAGTAAAGAGATCGGAGAAACCAAGTCGATTTTTGTTAGCACAATTGATCAGTGTATGGCTGACATTCGCCACAATCACTGTATAAAGCCAGGGGCACCCAACGAGGATATAGTTCAAAACCACTTAACATAGCATTGTTGAACGTATTTTAGTATTTAAACGGTAGATATAGGCATATTTTTATCCCCTAAAAACTTTTCATCTGTTCGGATTTCCTAGCTGAAAGTCTAGTGATCCGAAAATTATAGGGATCAAAACTTACCTTTTCGAAAATTTCAGCCAGGAAAAGGCTCCCGAAAATTCTAGGTGGCCTTTTTTAGGGTAAATATCCGTTTAAAATGGGTAATTATACCATTTTGTAGATGTTCGAAAATCCTAGGAGAGGCAGGCAAGCAAGAAATTTTCCAAAAAATGTTCCGAAAATTCTAGTTCTCAAATCGTCTTCCGAACAGATATTTTCCCGAAAATTGCCGTTGGGTGCCCCTGTAAAGCCACTGTAAAGCCTATAAACTGACTTTCGTTGTACCCTTTACTAAGAACGGTATATTCAAACTTACAAAATGTGGACTTTCTCAAGGTTTCTGTATTCTACGCAGGTCAAAACACGCATTAAATGGTTAAAACGTATAACTGCAGCTGTAACACGAACATCATGTGTCTTTGGTGATGCAGTAATCTGAGATCAGGCTCTATTTTCGTGTTAGAGAGAATGTATGAGAACCGCTCAAATTGGGCCTGATCTCAGGATAGTGATGTAGCAACGTTTTTAAATAGATTGCAGAGTTTTATTCGGAGATATTTTTATTGTGCCTTTGCCAGGAGTCCAGCCTTGGGATAGACAGCAATGTTGAGCCCGCGGTGGGGAAATATGGTTGCAATTGGCTGGAATGATTTGCCCGTGGGCAGGGAATTTGAGGGCAAATTTTTGAAAAATGTCAAATCCCCACCCCATGCCTTGCTCCCCCCGCCGGCTTAACATTGCGGATACGGTGAACTACACGAGGCGATTCCCAACGTCGATTTTGAAACAGACATTGTCTCGAATAGTTTTAACATTGTTCCAATATTGCGACGCTGTGTTGCGTTAAAAATCGTCGTTGCGAATCGTCCCGTGTAACATCACCTTTAAATCGGACGAAGGACGTTTTTGAAAGTCTAGTAGCCTACGTGTAGTTAGCCTCCCACGCAGGCGTTTTTATAGCCTGCGCGAAAACGAAATTAAACTCTGGTTAACTTCGTCTGCGAAACAGCGCCGAAATCCTTGTTCTGGACTTCCAGCTGTGTACCCAGATTTGAGTACGCACCACGATTGGCCAGTTAAAAAAGACCTTTGTTTTGTTTGTCGCAAGACTGGTAATAGCCAATCAGGTTGAAGGGAAATTCGAAACGCACTACTATGGTCGGCCATTTGTTTCAAAATTATGACACGATATATGTGCGGTTTTTTCCCACGTATACTTGCAATCATTCCTGCTACACGATATACGTGCGTTTTTTTGTCACGTATACTTGCGTTTTATTCCCACGTATATGACTATTTTCTTACAAACGCGCATATATATGCGCACAAAAAAGCCCATATATATGCGTTACAAACAAGCATGTGGTATATGGGTTACAGAAAGTCGTCGTATAAGTGGCACCGAATTATACCGTCAGCAAAAAACCCCTTCATGTACGATGGAGCTGAAAAGTAACTTCAGTTTGCATCAAGCATGGCCGCAATGGCCGTGTTAAGTATCGGTCAAATCGAAGCTTCAACATGCCCCGGGCATACCCTGGGCATTTGACACCTTTGCCGTCCCGGGGAGGAGGGAATTTGATTATCAGAGTCTTCCAGGGGGTGGGGAATTTGATCCCCATGCTTTAGGGGTGGGGGACTTGAACTGCACCCTCGATTTCATGTAAAATCTTTGGCGTGGCGGGCTATAATGGGGGACGCGGTGTTAGAGGATTTTCGTGGAAAAGATTGTGCCTTTGTGGCCAATTGTTTACGAGGAAAGGGCTTAAACAAGCTTTGTGCCGTGTTTGAAGTATTTAAATTTTAAAATACTGGATTCAGGCTTTGAATGTATGAATGTATTTTATTGTTGAGTTTACAACGAAACACAACACCTATACCGGCGATTCAATACAACAACATAAAATAAAATAAAAAGCTCAGGTCAACTACTTTTACCTACTGTAAGTATGTTAATTAATAAGATGAGCGATGATGCATGTCAGTGAAATGGTCATGATGTAGTAATCTCAATAGGTGGGATCCTTTTTATACAACGCTTTATATGTTGCATGACGAAGAAAAGCTGAGCATTCAGTGACCTTGTAGTAGCGATTTCCGCCGCTTTGCACGAGACTTTTGTTCGTAGTAAATGCGCTAACCGTGTTTCTCAGTTTTTGTTATATTTGTAAAGATTTTGTTCGACAACTGAAGGCGTTTCCGCCGTCCTTCTGTCATTTTTGTGCCTGTGAAATGTCCCCGGAGTGGAGGCATTTGATCAACTGAATGGACCCTGATGTGGGGCATTTGAACGGCATTTTGGCCCTGGTAGGGGGGAATTTGAACAAAAATTTTCAAAAAAGTGCCCGGGGGGGCATGTTGAAGCTTCGATTTGACCGATACATTATCTTCGAGCATGATTTGGTTCTTATGCATTGCCCTCACAGTAGTGGTGGTTGTTGGCTCCCCGACAACGGATTTGTTGGAATCCGTGGATTGTCTCTTGAGAGAGACTGTGTACGCTATTTCACAAATGCTGACCGAAACAACGATCGATTCAGTTCAGTAGAAATTAGCGTCCGACGGGCAAAACACGACTCATAAGCTCTTGATAATTTGAAACATGACCTTGAGAGTCTGCTTGAACAGATTGGTTTTTCTTCTTTTCTCTCTCGCGCGCGAATTATCACCTTTTCGCCTCCACGAACACGTTCTAAGCCTCCTAGTCTCGAAGCTTTTTATCATTTCCCCGGTATTCTCACTGACTTTAATAGCCTTCCACCTACCTCTCTTTCCTTAGTGCTCCTCCACTTAAATTGTGATTTTCATGGTTATCTAACTCGTTCTCGTTCAACTTGCATAAAATGTCCCTCAGGTATCAATTTGCTATTAGTTCTCGAGCCCCGATTATTTGGAAGGATAGTTTATTTATAACTTCACAGACTTCAGTTTGGCGTTTTTTTGCAGCCAATGGCAAATCAGTATTTTTGATTATAGCAGCTAGTTTCGCTCTCTGCACCATAGTAGCAACCGACGAGGAACTGCATTCTTGCAGAATTCATAACATCCGCATAGACACAACAGTAAAGTCCTACGAAGGAACAACAAGACATCGCACTTTTGTTTAAAGACTCACCTCTGTCTCCAAAAAAATTAAATGGACTGCATCAGGCTATCAGCGGTGAGAATGACCTTGACTCACGCAAAGCATAATTCTCCATACTTGGCCGGTAGCTTCAGTTTAAGCTACCGTGTACAACTCAAATCTGAAGATCTCAGTCACTATCCGTGAAAATTCAAAATCCTTGAAACAACACTTATGAGCTGGGCCCAGCGTCATACTGACATAGCAGCCCGGGAGGGGCAAGGGGGGGGGTACTCAACAAATTCTTATACGGCGGAGGCCCACCCCTTAACCCTTCATATACCATTTTTCACGATTTCGTATACCTTCTATTGACAAATGGTACTCCTTTCACATATCTTGCTTAGAACTTTGTATCCCTTTTAACTGTTGGAAACCCGGACTGTCATAAAATAGGAATCCGTCACAAATGTAGAACGCTTTCTCGACGGGTAAGGGGTTGGACCTCGGGGCGGAGCCTCCCCGTACAAATATCTGTTAAGTACCTCTCCGGGATTTCGGGCGGAGCCTCCCCGTATAGGCCATTATAGGGAGTACCCTCTCCCCTGACATAGCAAGAAATAATCACATTCTCGGACAAAGAAACTTACATGCATGCATGTAGTTATTCCGCAGATCCAGGATTTACGGAGAAAACCATAGAAACTAAAATCTTTATTTAGCCGTAATACTAAATTAAAGATTTAGGCTTAAACAGAGGTCAAAGAAAATTAAAACACTTTACAACTGCATCTGAGGTCAACTCCTAGCAGGAACACCTAAAGAACCATAAACCACAAGAGATGATTACTCAGTATGCTTGTAATTCTCTGTAGTGCTAGTAACTTTAACTTTAACTTTATTATTCCATCGTTCATATAGTACAAAACTCAGTAAAGCAAAAGCCGGGCACTTATAGGACCTGTGGTCAAAATGACAGAAATTATTTTATGTAGAAATGAAGCCACTGGAGGCTAAATTTCAAAACTAAAACAAGATACAAAACTTAAATTAATTAATGCAAGCAGTCCTACAGCAGAGGTAAAACTAGAAGTACTAGTGACAAATAAACAATAAACTTTGATAATCCTGCGCTAATTCAATCCAGGCTTAAAAAGTAAAGTTTTAGTTTCTATTTAAAGTCAGTCGTGGTAAGGCTGTTACGGACAGTGAAGGGTGTATCAGTGGGATATCCTTGGCCAAATAATCGGGGCTTGAGAACTAATAGCGAATTGATACCTGAGGGAGATTTGATGCAAGTTGAACGAGAACGAGTTAGATAACCATGAAAATCACAATTAAAGTGGGGGAGCACCAAGGAAAGAGAGGCAGGTGGAAGGATATTAAAGCAAGAGAGAATAGCTCATTCTCTCTTGACTAAAGTTAGTGAGAATACCAGGGAAATGATAAAAAGCTTCGAGACTAGGAGGCTTAGAACGTGTTCGTGGAGGCGAAAAGGTGATAATTCGCGCGCGAGAGAGAGAAAAGAAGAAAAACCAATCTGTTCAAGCAGACTCTCAAGGTCATGTTTCAAATTATCAAGAGCTTATGAGTCGTGTTTTGCCCGTCGGACGCTAATTTCTACTGAACTGAATCGATCGTTGTTTCGGTCAGCATTTGTGAAATAGCGTACACAGTCTCTCTCAAGAGACAATCCACGGATTCCAACAAATCCGTTGTCGGGGAGCCAACAACCACCACTATTGTGAGAGCAATGAATAAGAACCAAATCTTGCTCGAAATTAACGCGGCCCTTGCGGCCATGCTTGATTCAAACTGAAGTTACTTTTCAGCTCCATCGTACATGAAGGGGTTTTTGCTGACGGTATAATTCGGTGCCCCTTATACGACGACTTTCTGTAACCCCATATACCACATGCTTGTTTGTAACGCATATATATGGACTTTTTTGTGCGCATATATATGCGCGTTTGTATGAAAATAGTCATATACGTGGGAATAAAACGCAAGTATACGTGACAAAAAAAAGCACGTATATCGTGTAGCAGGAATGATTGCAAGTATACGTGGGAAAAAACCGCACGTATATCGTGTCATAATTTTGAAACAAATGGCCGACCATACACTTCCGGTAATTCGTTGAGTCCGTTGGGAGTCCAGAACAAGGATCTCTGCGCTGCTTCGCAGACGGTACTAATCAGAGTTTAGTTATCGTCTGCACGCAGGCTAGCGTTTTTAGAACGAAATACGAACTCCCCTCAAATTGCCTGAGTGGGAGGCTAACGTGTAGTAGCCGCACCCCGCTATAAAAGATGGAGAGATAAAACATGGAGTGACAAAACATAGATTAATAAAACATGGATTTAAGACCAAGTAAGAGAGGGGTTTTTTCATAGGTTTCATAGGATCTGAATGTGACAAACATGACTTAGGTTTGATGTTCCAGTAGCTTCTGCTTTCTGTCACACAACATTTCGGGTCGGAAATGAAATTAATTGGGGCGAGTTATTTTTAATCTTACTTTTTCTCAAAAGGGGCATTTTATTTTGACAACAATAAAAGTATTTCGTGCAACATAGACAGTTTCATTATTCAAACTGTTAAAGAACATAGAAAATGTTGTCTTTTGACTAGTTTTTCGCTATTTACCGGTATGCTACGCCAAAAGTGACAAAATATCAAAGATGCAACTTTATAATTCAAATCCACCAATTTACTATCAAGATCGATAAAATTAACATCAATTTGCTTTTTGAATGTGTCAAGATTGTAGAATTTAATTTCAATTCCCACGTGTTTCATGTCATGTATCAAGAGACACGTTTTCTAAATCAAGATGCATGTTTTTCAAATCAAGAAGGGAGACGACAATTTTTGATCAGTTTTGTTTCCGAAGGGAAATGAAACCGAAAAATCTGCCATGCTCCATGGACTGCTCCATGAAGAATCCCGCCCATTCCCGCCCAGAAGAATCAGAAGAATCATTCGAGCAGCACAAGGAGTTAACACATCTCGAACACATCTCAAGCTTGTCGACACCTGACGAAGAACTGAGGCGGCGATTTAAGAACGAGATAGGCTCGATCAGAAAGAAAGCGGAACAGGCTCTCGCAGAAGCGCTGGTGAAATATCACCACAGGCGCGCAGACATCCTCGGAGACCCAGGGGCAGTCAGTCGGGTCGGGAGAAAAGGCGAAACGAAAGTTTTCATTACGGACGAAAGAGCCCCTGGGTACCGACTCTCACCGGACCATTTCCAAAAATTCAAGCGGATGCCGGCTCCTGATTGGGCACAAAAAATGCTTTGTATTATTGTGCCCAATCGACGAACAAATCTCAATGAGTTCATTTCTTTCGTTCGTACATGACGGCTTGTCTAACTTATGCACCAAAGAAATGCACGCAGTCAGGAAACTTTCAGTTTGATATAAAATCCCCATCTGATCCAACTCGCTTAATTTGTCAAATGCAAGTGAACTCTTCTGAACCATATCAAAGTTCATGAAAAGAATGAATTTTGTTATTACTTCTTTACGTCCTTCACAAAACGTGAAATTAGGCATTTTCACGGGTACTGACGTGCAGTTGACGGCAAAGAAATGTACAAAAAAGCGTGATGCACGGGCAAAGTTGTTGTTTTGCCTTGTCAGGCTATTACTTATTTGAATTTCTCATCGCCGCCGCATCGTAATTGTGATCCGTCAAAAACAGAATATTCTCGGGGCAAATTCAATTGCCCTTTGCTGATAGTAACCCAGACGTTTTTCAACTCCTCGGTTGTTCCTTTGTTTCTGGTTAGGAAAGTATAAAATAACAGTTTCCCCGGTACGCACAAGCTTGGTGAACGAACTGAGCAAGTGTGGCGAGACAATAGCAGTCGTGTACGGGGTCACGAAAAGAATTCGGGAGAAACTGTTCGCCGATTGGGCGCAATAATACAAAGCATTTTTTGTGCCCAATCAGGAGCCGGTATCCGCTTGAATTTTTGGAAATAGTTCGGTGAGAGTCGGTACCCAGGGGCTCTTCCGCCCTTACTTGAAGACTTTCGTTCGGCCTTTTTACCCGACCCAACTGACTGCCCCTGGGTCTCCGAGGATGGCGCGCTGAACGATTAACTAACAAGCTTCGTAAACTCGAACAGGAATATCTCGCAGGAATACTGTAAGGAACAATATAGGAATACTAAGCAGACGTCTCACCAGAAAACGCAATCACCGGCTAGAAAGAAAACTGTCAACAAAGATGACAATGTAAATTGAAGACCAAGATTAGCTCAAAGTCGATGTATTGTTAGAACAAATGAGATCACAAGTGTGTGCGAATAAACAAAGTGAATCCTACTCTTGTCTCTTATCAGACTCCTTAGAAGTAAGGGGGAAAGGGAAAGCAAACCGCAGAGATAACAAAGCGGCCAAAAACCGCAAAAGAAAAGAGCGGAGAAAAATCAAAGACAAAAAGCGCTTTTTTAACGCCATTGAATCACGCAAACAGTATATCAAATGCCTGTCAAATAAACAACTGACAGATAAGCAAATTACTCTACGATCGCGTGGTCTAAAGTTTATCACTACACCCAAGACAAAAGAAAATCTTATCAGGCGCCAGCTTCTCGCGGATTTCAATCAATTTGCGAGACGAATGCGACTACAATATATTTTTCACGGGGAAGAAAACGAACCTCATCCTTTCCACGTGAAGTCGGACTGGAAAAAAACCAGTCCAGCTATCTGTAGCTCTGGAGACCTTCCTAGAGGAGGTAAAATTAGAGCTCGCAAGTATTGAATTTGACAAGCCAAAAGATAAATATATCTAAGGGAGAGCGCCAAGCTCTCAGAGAGTTGAAATCTGATAAAGGTAAACACCACCGTATTGATGAGCAGACAGGACAAACTAAACGAAGGTCAGGTTCTGCTTGATGATTTAAATAACTACCGACCTCTAGACAAACCAATGGTTGAAACTACAACCAAAAAAGCTCAACAGCTTATTAAAACACTGCTCTCGGAAGGCCACATTGATAAAACGACGGCTAAATGGCCCTCCCTTACGCCCGATCCTCCCCGAATCCCCGTGTTTTACACACTTACTAACATCTACAAACCGACACCTGTCGGAAGACCTATTATATCAGGGTGTTCCGGACCTACAGAACGGACCGCAGCATTTGTTGACCACCTTATTGAGCCAATAGCACAATTACAAGCTTCGTATCTTAAAGATACGACAGACTCTATTAACTTTGTCAAGAGGATTAACCTGCCTAAAAGTGCCATACATGTTTCAATGGACGTCACAAGCCTATTAGACTACGAGTAGTCCCCCATTTTTCCTCAGGGATGATAGAGCAAGCGAAACGCGAGCGCGCGTGAAAATCACTCCACGCCTTTTCTCGCGTGGGGTGATTTTCACGTCCGCTCGCGTTTCGCTCGCTCTACTATCCCTGAGGAAAAATGGGGGACAACTCGTAGTCTACAAGCCTATACAAAAAAAAAAAAAAAACGAGAGGGTATTACCACTGTATGCCTTGCATACGAAGAATTTCACTAAGGAAACCCTCCAGTCCCTACCAGGTTTTTAAGCAAAATGCTTAGTCTGATATATCTAGAAAACTCGTTCCAATTTGACGAGAAAGATTATCTTCAAACAAATGAAACAGCCATGGGCACAAAACTGGCCGTAGCCTTTGCTAACATCTTCATGGTCAAAATAGAAAAAGAAATACTCAGACTGAGCAGCATAAGCCCATCTTTTGGAAAAGGTTTGTCGATGACGTCATATCAGTATGGGACACAAGCAGAAACGAAATAGAAGAATTCCTTCTACAGGCAAACAACTCCCATCCTACAATCAAATTCACACACGGCTGAAATATCAGAAACAGAGACTACATTCTTGGACACGAAAGGTACAAAGGTGTCAGATTCAACAAGGATTCTATCCTTGACGTGCGAACACACTTCAGGCCTACAGAAACATTCCAATACACGGATTTGTATTCGTGTCACCCACCAGGCGTTACAAAAGGCTTCGTCAAAGGAGAAGCTTTAATGCCTTCTAAGAACAAATTCCTCTGAAATCACTTTTGAAGAGAACATGAGGAATTTTTCAACACGCCTCAAGAATAGAGATTACCCATCAGAGGTCATTTTCGCAGACAGAAAGAAAGCACTAGAACAGAGAAACAAAAATGCAAGTAAGAAAATACTACCCTTTGTAACGCAATACCACCCTGCGTTGCCCAACCTCAAGAACATACTCATGGGGAAATGGCACCTTATACAGAACCAACCATATCTCAGAAACATCTTTAAGGAACCTCCCCTCATTACCGGGGCCTAGCCGAAGGCTGGCACCGGTCATAAAATGCAACGCGTTTCTGTCCTTTCAAAGTTACATTGTTAGGGATATATCGCTGACTGAGATATATCGCTGGCTCGTTACTGTTGGGATATATCACTGGTTCATTGACATCTTATCCGCCATTTTGAAAAGCACGAGGTATGGAGGAGAGTCAAGAGAAAGATTATAGCTTTTTGGGGACGACACGTTCCCCAACCTTTACGATGTACTAGTTTATGAGCGAAAACTTGAGAGTGAATATTTGGAGAGACAAACTTACGAGCGATCGCTTAAGAGTGAACCTTCCATCGTGAAACTTATCGAGAAAATAAGCGACTTATCAAAGTTATCTACATTGAGTGAACCTTCCATCATGAAATTTATCGAGAATCAATGCGAACACTTATGAAAGCTAACTTTATATCATCTTAACAAACGTTTTGTGCGTTTCAATACCTTAATTCGCACTCGCTACAAGAAACTTCGTCAAATATTTTCCGACAAATAATTAAGACTCATTACAAGAAAGTCTATCACAGCTTTAACTAATAATGAAAAACCAAAAAAGACTGTTTCACATAACCTTTGTCACGCAATATTTACGTTAGCGACATGCGAAAACTCTCAACTGTTCAAAATGCGGGATTCTCTAATATTTTTCATCTCTAAAGAATATTTGCAATAAAAAAGATTTTCATCTCGCCCGACAAACTTGTTGATGAAAACGACCCTTCCACGTGGGTTGCCAAGACAAAAGTGGCCCCGGTAAAATTCACGAAGTGATTCTTGTTTCATATCGCAAAGGAAAATCCCTAAAAGACACTCAAGTAAGAGCTAAACTATAAAGGTTTTAAGACCAATCTATTTGCGAGCTGCAGGAGTCGTACAGGCCCGTCAACACTTTTAAACCTTGAATTCCAACCTGTGTGCTCGGTTTCAGTCCCTCTCGGAAACAAAACTGATGAGAAATTGTCGTCTCACTTCTTGATTTAAAAAACATGCATCTTGATTTAGAAAACGTGTCTCTTGATACATGACATGAAACACGTAGGAATTGAAATTAAATTCTACAATCTTGACACATTCAACAAGCAAATTGATGTTAATTTTATCGATCTTGATAGTGAATTGGTGGATTTTTGTTTGACATTGGACAAAATCACTTTCCGCTTGATCGTACAGTAATTCCACAGTCACGATGAATTTCTGAAGTACCACTCGATAACAGCTTCTCTCAACTCTGAAGCATTGACACATTTTGTACGTGACAACGTAGAGCCGGTACGCCCTTTCATAGACTTGTAGCATTTGAATAATACGCAATTAAATGGATCTTAAGCTTTTAAATGGCACACACGCGAAAATATTGACATAGTTCGCGATGTTATTATTTTCCATTGTTGCTCCGTTCGACTCCCGGGGTTCGACTTCTGTCAGCGCAAAACCAGCGGGTTGCATATAAATTAGCTTCTCAGGAATATTTAGGCTGTGCACGTGACCAGCCGATGCCAGGGCCTTTTCCCGCCCCACCCATTTTTTAAGGGAAAACCCCTGGGGACGAGGTTGGGCAGTGTTCGTTATTAGGTCTGTAGTCAAACGTTGTGTACAAGGGAAAGCGATGTAGTTATACCTTTAAAAACTCAAAAAAGTGCAATAATTAGACCCCGTTTATATGGAAAAAAGTTTTCGCGGTAGAGGGATCACCCATCTACTAGCCAGTGTACAGACGTCCCCCTTCCCTGTGAAAAAATCTCTCTCCTCGATTTTTGCTGAGGGAGGGGGACGTCTGCGCACAGGCTACCACCTACCCGGGCTACCCTGGGCGATCCAAATTTCCTTACATTTCCTTACCAAACTTGAGGAAACCCGGCTTTTCTATGAGAACCGAAAAGTTGCCTCGGCTAGAAGGGTGGTTCGCTCGGCTCCTGCCGCTGGTCATTATTGTTGTGATGGAAGGTTCACCCTCTAAACAGTTTGGCTCACCTAGCCGGGTCAACACGGTCAAGGTGAGACAATCGGAGCATGCGCGAGCGCTGTTCTCTCGGGAATAGGTTGAGGGCAAAGGGCTCGACTTTTTTCTCATACAAAAGTTCGCTAAATTTGACTCGCGCCGCCAGGGAGGGTGACCCTTCTTCCTGGGACAGGTTTTCTTCATAAAAACGGGGCCTAAGTAGCCCAAGTAATCCCTGAATCAAATCTGTACTAGTGAAAGTGAAAAATGACTGAAAGGCTTTTTTTCTATTCAAATCTCTTACCTCCATGTTCACTTTTCACTGGCAGGACATGTATAATGCGTTTAAATCTAGGATCCTGGACATGGCAAGAAAGAACACAGAACTGTTGGCGTTTTCAAATGTTAGACTGGGAGGGGGAATAATTATAAAGATATTAAAAAAGCGTGTAAAAGATGGCCGCCAAAGAAAGGCTACCAGCTAACCTCGCGCTCAGCTTAACGCTACTATAGTTACAGTAGCGGATCCAGAGAAGGGGCTGGGGAAGGGGTGCAGCTCATCATTTTTACCGCCAAACCTCACTTCATGAAACACGACAGAAGAACACATAAAAAATACTGCTAGTTAGCTACGCAGGCTACCAGACGGAAAATTGACAAAAATTAAGGTTTTTTTCAGTAAGGAGAAATCACACTTGTATCATCACCCAGCATTTTGTACCTTGATCAGCTTTGGTAATCGAACCTTCACCTGTACTTCAAGACCCGTGCCAATATTTTCCGGTGAACACGACAAAAATCCGTATTTTGAAGTCCACGCAAACCTTTGTCCTGTCTGTTTCAAACTTTCTTCCATGCACGCTCTCCCGGCAACAACTCGCTGTATCTTCTAAATGCTTTAATGATGTTGCCTCCTGGTTGCGTAACATTAAGTTTCAAATGATCAAAGTAATTTACAAAAATGCGGCACTGTTGGTCTGAAGTGATCCAAATAAAGCGCCCTCTAGGCTAGTCACGTGATAGTTGTGGTTGTAAGGAGCCTTGGGTTGAAGCCGGCAAAGGCATCCAAGGTAAGCTTGCTGTATTGCTGTGATGACGAGAGGTAGCAGCGTTAAAACTTGTCTGTCAAAGAACTTACACTAGATTTAGATAGTTAAGTTTTTCAGACACTTCTTTTGGGGAGTATGCGACTCCAAGGGATGTTGGAAATTCAAGCACTTAAGATATATAAGTTCTTACACGCGAGTTTTTACTGTATATGATGCTTTTCTGAAAAAAGAAGAAAATGTGAAATTCCTACGTTAGGACAAAAACTTCAGCTTCGGGCAGACCTTTGGTGACAATTACGTACCCCACCCTAGGTACTCAGATCCTAGAAATACCCGACTTAAATGCCTCGGTTGTACGGGGAGGGAGATGATGGAGCCATTCTGTAGCTCAATGTAACATAGAATTAAATTCTTACTATTAACAGAAGTTAAACTTTCCACTATTAAGTGACTAGCATCAAATAACTCTGCTGTTGAACGTCCGGGAATCATACTGAATCCTTTTATATTTCGACTAGTGCTCAGTCCATGGCCACAGGAGAGCACCTTATCGCCGTAAAACTTTCCACCTTGAATTTCCTTCCAGTTCAAGTTTATTTCTAATCTTAAACTATTTATCTGGTCAATATTAAGAACCTCACAGATAACAGGATCGATAAGGTCACTAAAGAGATCATCGCATTCTTCGTCGCCTGTAAGCAACCCTATTGAGTTTTCCACTAAGTGTGCCGTTGTTATTCCATTTTTGTTCGTTATATATTGTGTCATAATTAAGTCCACACTCGATAAGCTGTTCGAAGCCATATCCTTTGGATGTACCCTTGTCTTTGACTCTGGAAAACGTATCCGCATGGTGTGAGAAGCTTGCCTATTCTTTTTCGGTTGCATAGGTTGTTCCATAGCTACTCATAGGTCTTCTTATTGTGTATTTAAGAG